CGGTCTCAGATGTGCCCAAAATGAAAATTACGGCTTTACTGGAGAACCATCACCACAAAGCACAAACAGATGGTTTGGAATTTAAGAAAAGCTTAATGAAGAATTTCAGACACGATATGAACACTATCCAACGTACAATATAGAAGAGAACTATTAACAACAGCAGATTTAGGATGCTGTTTATGAAAGTTTTTGTTTGTTTGTTTGTTTGTTTGTTTCTCTTTCTGCTGCAGAAAGAAATGTCTCAGGTGAAAAGGTGAGACTTCTCAAGCTGACTGCTGACTCATCAGCCTCGTGTAGATCTGCGGTAACGGCCCGTTTCTGGTAGCTATGGTCTCCCCTTTGTGTGGAACAAGCAGACAGACACAAGACCCTGAAGCGTTATATGCTGCAACATGGAGTGAATGTTGGGCGTTACCCCCCCCGTTAAGGCGAGTGAAAGCAGGAGCGACACTGAGCCAAACAAGGGCAACAGGAGTGGTGAGTTTACCTGCTCGCATCTACTGGGAAGACTGGTCAGGGAGGACCTGTCAGCCAGTGTTATAGACAGTCCTGCTCCATTCTGATGGGTGTTTCCGAACTGAAACGAGAGGCAGATTGTCGAGAAGCCCCCCGGGGGCAGTGGGCTGCCTCTCCTTTGTCGACTTTAGGGCCTGATAAGCGGGGAGGTGTTGAAAAGCGGCCCCAGACCGGCCGGTGACTGCAGAGGCAGCCTCACATGCCTGGGCCCTTACTCGTATACATGATAGGTTGGGCTTTTTCTTGCCTTTGTGTTCACAGCCCTGCGCAAACCCTCACCTTTGTTCTGTTTATACCAACAGACAAACATCACGATATGGAAGATTTTCAAGGGATTTTGATTAAAATGTCAAACAGTCATCCATCCTGCAATATTATTAAAATCTGCTCAATATTGCGACTTGAAAGATTAATTTTCCCAGAGGAATAATTGACATATGAGCGATTATCATTCACAATATGGTATAAGTCAAAGAGACGCAATTACATCAGGATATTTCTAATTAACCTGGGGCAACATTAATTGTATCGATGTTAAGTGCACCTCTGGTGGGACTTAAAGCTCAGGGTTGTCTCAGAGTCCACTGAAGATGAAGGGATTTATATAGAAACCACTACAGCTGCTTTTGGCATGTAACACTCGCCTCTTCTATATGTATATGATCTCGTTCCAAAAAAATCAGGGAAACGCAGAATTATTTCAGATGTATAAAGGTTATCCAGCTGTGTTTAAACCTACTGACAAGGAGAGATTGTAATTGTTTACAAACGTACTCTTGAGTGAGATTACACATAAATTTCCCCCTGAAACCATTTTTATATGATATATAATGAAATCACTTTCCAACAGATGGTGCCCTTGCAATTTCAGCTCCGGATCTGATCTCATCTTAACTTCGAGTAATCCTTTAGTCAGTGTGAAATAGGTTTCTGTTGCCAAAAATTAAAAATGTTAACTGTACATAAACACCTGATATCCTTTTTTCAGAAATTACAGTCATATATAAAAAATTTCACAGTTATGATTTCAAAATGACAAGAGGTTTGAGAGAATAATTGTAATTTTGATTGTGGGGGGTTTGTATTCATTTAGTTGTTTTTTTTTCAAGCCACATATTTACTTGTCTGCCTTCCAAACGTAACAAGAAGCCAGAGAGCTTCATGGCATTAGACTCATTGCACAAGGTCACCACCTGGTATGTGGCCTGTGTTGGGCTGTGCAGGCAGAGGCCTGTACCAGCCTCACTGCCATGCGCACAGGGCCCACAGAGTCGTTGCTGCAAGCACTCTAACAACACCAAATTGACAGCAATTCCCACAGTGGATACACAGAACTACTGTATGTCTGTGCACTGATTTCTCTGAGCTTTTCAGCATTCTGTACATTTTTAAACCCAGATTGTGCAAGTATTAGGACAACTGACCATGACACTCACAGGAACTTTTATGACATATGCATACCAAGACATTTTGGACAATTATATAACTTTGTGGGAATAGTTTGGGGAAGGCCCTTTTCTGTTCCAGCATAATTGTGCCCCAATGCACATGGTTGGGTGAGTCTGGTGGGGGAGAACTTGACTGGCCCACACAGAGCCCTGACCTCAACCCCATCAAAAACCTTTGGGATGAACTAGAACGGAGATTGTGAGCCAGGCCTTCACGTCCAACATCAGTGCCTGACCTCAAAAATTCCCACAGACACACTCCAGAATCTTGTGGAGAGCCTCCCCAGAAGAGTGGCAGCTGTTATATCTGCAAAGGGGGGACCAGCTCCATACTGATGCCTGTGGATTTAGAATGGGATGTCATAGAAGTTCCTGTGGATGTAAGGCAGGACAAACCACTGCCTCATGACACCTGGGTTAGGATCCTGGCCCTCTCATGAGTATGAACAGGCTGCCTATGATAGTCAGTGGATGGATGGATAGAGGGATGGATGGAGGGATGGATGGATGGATATTGGAATAAGAACCAGGAAGTGGATGTATATGCATGTATGTGGTAGTTCAGGTCACCAGCCTGTATATGTATGAATTTACAAGCTTGCTGTGTGTGTTTCATGTGGAAGGGGGTGTATGTTTTTCGGAGGAGAAGCTCAGGTGAAAAGCCTTTCTGTTCACCTCAAATTGATTATTTGTTATGAGGGAGCCAGTAAACTGGGTCGCGGCCGTCGTAGTTTTTCCTCATTTTTTTTGTTTAAATCCTGTTATAGGGTCTCACTAATAAAGATCCCCTTCCATCCTCCACACTCTGTGTAACTGAGATCTCCGCCTACACAGACAAAAAACATATACTTTGTTTTCATAACTTTCAGGTGTGAGACCTACAGAATTGACACGCACTAATAAATATTTTATCCTTGTGTTCACGGAAATGCGCTGCTCTTATGGAGATCGGGAAGGCTGAAAGGTAGAAATGCAGAAATGTAGAGTTTGCCCTTGCTTGCTTTCATGGGCGAGAAAAGCTGGAAGCAGTCTATTTTCGCATTACTTTCTGAGACAGGGTGACTGGTGACGAAGAGAGATTAATATATCAATCTGAAATCAGACAACCAATTGCAAGATGAGGAGAAGATAACATGCTGTTCCTTTTTGCGGCAGAAAGTGTACAGTGTCCAGGAACGATGATGTGTTTAGTACTTTTCAGCTGGTGCTTGGTCTTATTCTGCCGGTCTGGTGCCAGCTTTGGGGCTTCGTGCTCACGTACGCTGCACAGGACTGTGGCACCCAAGAAGCCTGACCTAGATAGAGACTCATTCTGAGCATGTTCACAGCTTTGCAGCTCCAGGACGGACACTTTGATGGGCATGCTGATGCTGCACTGCAGGCCTGTCTGCTCAGTCCTCCAGAATAACAGCTGAAACTCACAGAGCCATTTAAGGAATCTGACAGCATTATATCTTTGTGTGGCAGTATGTTCACTGTTTACCAGTCTGGCAGTGCTATTACCATTTAGTATTCTCGGCTACTGTGTCACATTATTCTGTATATGAACAATGTTTTTTTTGGCCCAGGTTAGTAATATATATGCAATATTGAATAAACCTGTTGCAGAAAACATGTGTGATTTGTAAACATAACTGATTATAACAATATAATTCAACAATACTATAGAAATCCCTATCTGATACTGATTCATGCGGAGTCCACCATGAGCAGAAAAATGTAGCACACTTAATAAATACTGCTGTAATCATATATATCCAGTATTAGTTCTACATATACCACAGACCTAGTGCAAACCTAGGACAAAGTGTGCAGAATAAAGTGTGCACTAGGTAGTGCACCCTACATAGTGTACCCTACATAGTATACACTAAAAGTGCACACTACGGAGTTTATATAGTATATACACTACGGAGTGTACTTCTGAGTGTACTATGTATAGCCATCTCATCACTTACCATAGCCATAACCCTAATGGCAACTCTACAGCTAACCATACCGGGTGTCTTCAGTAATCAGGGGCGTATGGTCTGTCAGGGTCAGCGCCCATCCATCGCTGCCCTTCGTGTCTCCTCCCCCTTTGGCCAGCAGGTGTCGCTGGCCATCCTGTCCCCCTCCCTGTTTCTGGCTTTTCAGCCCCATTGTCTCTAATCCCCAGTGTGTTTTATCTGTTTCCTGAACTGCTGCTTAGTTCACAGACTGTGACCCTCTGGCCATAGGTTCGAGGCTGGCTAGGGCCCAGTCTCCCCTGTTCATTTGTATTTATTATTTTGTTCCCCAGTGTTTCTTGTTCTGTTCTGCTTTCCTGGTTATAGGTTTACCCTGCTTCTTTCCTCTTCACTTCTGGACTTGTTTATATTATTTGGTTCTGTTAATTATCCTGCTATATTCCCAGAGTGTCGCTTAGTGTTTTCTAGTTTTAGTGTTTGTACTATTCCCCAGTTCTGTGCTTGTTTATTGTTTCCACCTGTTGCTCATTGTGCTGCTCCTTATGTGATTGGTTTATTTGGTTTACACCTGTTCCTTGCTTGCCCTGCTGCTCCTCTGTATTTAAGTGCTTGCCTGCGTTTAGTTCCTTAGTGAGTTGTTGACTTGTGTGCTGCCACTGTATGCTGGAAGCGCTGGCCCCTTGCCTCTTCCTGACCCTTTGGTTTTTGTCAGTTTGATCTCTTTTGTGTTAATAATCCTCGTTGTCTTGGAGTCGCCTTGTGGACCGTCTCCTTTTCCCACCTGCACCATGATCAGCCCAGGATAACTGGTTGCTTGGAAGATTCAGGCTGGCTCCCTGATGACTGGATAATTTTAACCTCAACCTTATTCCATAGCCGAATGCCAACCCCCGCCCTAACCCTGGCGTGAATCCTGACACTAACCCTGACCACAGCCTGCACCCCCATGCCACCCTTATGCCTAACTTTAATCCTGCCCCCTCTCCTTACTTTAATGACAATGCTAAACTAGAGTTTCCCAGTCCAGTCGGTCCATGTTTTCGCTCCCTGCCAGACAGGCCACATTTTTGCTCCCTTTTGCTACCGGAACCGGATTGGGGAAACACTGGTCTTACTGTAAGTGTCCAACGAGCAATTTTCATATTATTGGGTGAAGCTGAGGAGCTGTTGTATGTCAAGGGGAAAGGATTTCACTCTAATGGCAAAATATAGCTCTGTATGCATTTCAAGTCATAAGGGGCTCTTGAGGCTTCTCTGTTATTCCATAGCTATCATACATCGAGGCACCTGGAATGAGGGATAAATGGATAATCGTGTTTTCTGCAGCATCCTAAAGCAGAGTCCTGCCTAAGAATGAAAAGTGAGTTCATGTGCTTTATGTCACCAAGTGCAGGTTTAGATTTCATACGTTCATTCGTAAATTTAAGAAGATGTAAAGAACAATTGTTTCTAGATTTAATTATCTGATAACATTGTACAAGGTGTGCTTTTCCAATTAAATTCTTGTCTCTAAGCCGGTCTTGTCAATCCTAAACCCAACCTGCTTTCCTTTTCCTTTTCAGAAGTCTTCAGTATTATACAGTTTTGCAGATATAAATCTGCCATCTTTGGCGCTTAGTGCTTTTTTTTTTCTTGTTAAATACAATCGTTCTTTTTTTCTCTGCTGCTTTTGTTCATAGCATTTGATGTTTCAGATCACTGGAAGGTGATTCACTGAGTGATGAGGATGTCCTTCCTCACTAACTATAACGACGGAAGTATAAGCATAAAGTATATTCACAAAGTAAATAATTCTTATTAAATGGACGTGTTCTATAGGTGTTTGTTTGAATCACACAATCTCAACCACTGTTGATGTTCTAGTTTCATAAACCTTTCAGTTAAAAAATTGTTCAGGAGGCTTAAAATGTGTAACATTTTGTAAAGCATCTTTATACGAAGCAAATTACTGCGTGTGATTATCTTTCATGCAATACAGTACAGTTATTCCTTTTATTGCAGACTGTATGATTTTATTAATCCATTTGATTTTTAGCATGCATGCGCCAACAGAGGAGCATTACTCAGAAATGCCAGCCACCAGGAACACAGTGTGAGTGTGTCTGAAATATACGCTGCCTGCCCGTCTGAGCTCTGTGAGCGTTACGACATGAAAGAATGCCATGGAAACTGACACCTCTGGTGGCACCGAGGGCCACACGAGCGCGACACGGCTCTGGGGACCGGCGCTCCGGGGGACACTGCTCCGGGGGACGACACTCCTGTTTTTCACAAACACACAAATTCACTTCAGTTGGAATTCATAATTAATATGAAGCACTTCAATTTTTTTTTTTTTAGATTATTAAATTCTTTGATTATTTAATTTCTAAAAGAGGATAAAATTGGCAGGTGTCCGTATATCTGGAGCTGTTGATAATTAACTGCATCAGTAACGAGCTGGATTTTGTCCGGCTAAAGACGCAGAGGGAAATAACATGAAGTCAAATGTGTGCCTGGACCTAATGAAAGTGCAGCCGCTGGCCGGCCCCTCCCACCTCGCAGTGCGTCTCACTGGTATTAATATTCCGGCAGCGTACGTTCATTCAGGGAGAGGTCGCTGTTGCCTTCCTCCGCTTCCCAGGGATCCCGAATTAGCATGTGAAAATATACCACTTGTTAACTTGTGTGTGACTTTGGGGTCTGCATGGCTGTTGGCCACGGAGAGGACCCCCCTGGGACTCCTCTCCATCCTCCGACCCGGGGCTGAGAGCGCCG